TGAGGTTATTGTCCCCGGCCGCAACGCGGAACGGGGGACTATGTATTCAGCGGCGTCCGTATGTCCCGATTCTTGTTAACGCGATATCTCATGAACTGTTGTACCCAATGTCTTCAAATTCGGTGACAGTCTACATTGGGTGATTATGCAGACAACAGGCATTTCAGGCATCTTGTATGTGACCCAAAAATCAAAAGTAGTAAATATAGATATTCCATTCTTTAGCGGCAGGGGGCATTGCCATATCAGTGGCAAACACTTGTTGGCTCTGTTATTATTTTTATTGTCATTTAACCATTAAAAGTATTACATTTCAACATATGGATAGTGACAAGATCTTCTTGACTTTCAGCCCTGGTGTTGTATAGTTTGGCAGTCTTTACAATTTAGCAAATCGGGTCTAGAATTTTCTTTTAACTGTGTTAAAGTCTGAATTCAAATGTGAAAATATCAGTCCTGTTGGAGTCATAGGTTTGAGCTGATCTCCAGCAACATGTTCTAGACTCAAGGGATCAGGTGATCAAGTTCAGTGACTTAGCTGATTAAGTGTCCTTGTGCCCTTAAGGCGCTGATCATTGTCCTTATGTCAATCATTGGCATGTCTTGGCCAGACATAATAACTTAGAGGCCTCTGTCATGCAGCTAGAATAGTAAACAAAACAAAGTCATTCTTCAATCTATCGTGAGACTGACTGTTTTCATACTATTTTTACTGAAAAATATTGTAAATAGGAATTTGTCTGTTTTTAATCTGTTCCAAACATTGAGTATCTTATTCTTTATATTGGCTATAGTTTTTCAACTGTGGTATCTAGTGAGTCCCCTAAATATGCCTAGGGTCTTTCTTTTGACATGAAAACTTGATTTGGAATGGTATGTAATGAACAATAATAATATACTGATCTGATCACATTGGTCACTCTTTCTTGTCAGATTTGAACTTACAAAATCAGTCCTTGAAAGTTTTTAGTCTCGTGGCCATTCCAGTCTTTTGATATACTTCCAAGTTAAAATTCATCTTCGTAATTGGTGGAGGGTGGTTGGGAAGTCTTGACTCATCATGCTTAAAACATGTTCCCCACATGGGTAAAATGTGTAAAGCCAATTCTTGATGTCACCCCACCACAATATCCCCCTGAATATTACTGAATGCACCATTTAACATCACTCCTTCAAAATTCACGTACAGGCAAATTGGATGTACAAAATCAACAGTAGTGCTGTGTATGAAGCTGTATTGCAGCTTGTGTAGCATTTATTTAACAATACCTTGTGAAAATAACATTGAAGATAATCTGTAAACCCAATGTTTTGAGAATTCGACTTTATCCAAAGTCACTATCATCAAGAACCTATCCTGCTCAACATGTGTTTATCTTCCTTGATGCACTGCAGCGTTTCATATTTGAGAGGTTCTATTTTGGGCCCCTAGCAACAGATTTTACAGACAACTCTTGCTTTCCCACGCTTCTGTGATGAGAGATGCTCTTTTCCTCTAATTTTCCAGTAGAGATAGTCCGCACATGGCCCCTTCTTCTGCCAACTCATACTTCACAGCAAAAAACCTAGGTTCAACAAAACTAGTATGAGCAGATTATCTAATGTTGATATAATAACCCTCTCAAACCTGCTCATTTCCTAATCTGTGTCATCTATATCATTTATGATATCAACTTTCAACACTGGCTGAAAGCAGTAAAGCATTCATTTTCCATGTGTTCTGATATGGTTACGGTGTGGGGTATTTTTGGATTAGAAAACAGTTGTAATGAGGTTCATGGTGGTTTTCTTTGGCAAATGACCTCATTAGATGTAATCAGAGGAAAATATGGCGTAGCATGTTTTTTCTGAAAGTGGGTTTCGTTGAGTTGAACAGTCCTCAAATGGACAGAATTCTTTCAGTCCGCTTTCACAAAGCAGTATCAGCACTGCAAATAGAACTTCTTTTACTTTAACATAAGATATTTGTAGTGCTGCCATCATTTGTGAAATGGCCTTGATTTGACTGACTTTATTTGCATGATGTAGGAGAGGTTACACTGATTACACATGTTCATTGTTGGTGAGTTCAATTGCATAATTGTTGGTTCATCATAGCAAAGAACATATTCCCACCATAGGTAGTACACAGTGTGAATCCTATTTTCTGTGTCTTTGCTATGATATGGTTTAACTATTCTGTACTTGCAGATACAATGGCACACATATTTGTACATGCCATGAAGCAGGGTTAGACATTCTCACTGTCATTGTAAAACTTGTGATTGTCTGCCGTGACATTGCTGGAATATTGCTAAAAGTGGCGTAAAACCATACTCACTCACTCTAAGTAATTGGTCACTTTCAGGAATAATTTGAAAATAGTTGTGGATTATTAGAATTTGCGTGTCTCAACTAGAGATTATAGGGATGGCACAGTTGGGAAATTATTTCAGATTTCTGTGGTTCGAAATCCTGTTTATTCATTTACTGTTTTGCAACTCAAATACAGACAATTCTATATCAACAGAATGTGAATGGAAGGGGAGAAACTGTTGAGTCAGAATGTCCACATGTCTAATGCCTGAGAATTTTGTAAAGTAGGCGTGGGTTTAAGAAACATGACCTGTAATCTTTTCAAACATAGATTTGTATGTATCCTGCAGCTGAATACTACATACAATTCAAAAGTCCTCCTCACCAGCTCAGATGAAGGTCAGGTGATTACAATAAACGACCTGGGGGCATGTCACCATACCCTGAGTAGCTGAGTCCAAGGTTGTTGTTAACCAATGGTTTGTCTGGGCCAGATTTCATTATTGTCTATGTTATAAATCTTGGATACTGCTGATAGGAAAACACATGTTTAGCTGTGTTCAATGTTCTGCTTGGGGGTCAAGAAATTGTTAAAAGTAACTGATTTGGGATGTTCATAGATTTAATACAGGTGCAGACCACAAGCCCCATATCATCCTTAGCTTCAAACACTGCTCACTCAAAATCAAATTGTTGTGTGTGGAGAGAGGAAGACGGACAAATAAGACTGCCTTGATAAAATTGATCTATTACAAAGCAACAGCTTCTGTTCTTGTTTTCATGGAGAAGAGAAGGGGTTAATTGTTTTCGTGATATTGAAACAGTCATTGAAGTCTTGACTTTTGTCATAGAGGTGAATACTGCTTTGATTGAGGCAGTTCATGACAGAACTTTTAAGGAGGGCCAGTTTACTTTCATACCTGACTCCAAACACTGATCACTGGTATGGTTTTGTTTAGAAGTAGCTGCAGCAATTTCCTTACGGTATTAACTTCCCTGCATCAGCCTGCTGGTTCAGTAACTCTCCACTTTCCTTGCTTCCAAAATAAGCAGTGGTTGTGTAGCTCTGTCTGATCCATCTTAATCAATAAATGGATGAAAACTGGTTCTGCTCAGACTTATCGATCACCTCCTTGAAACGAGGTAGAAGTATATTGATAGATGAATAGACCTAGAAAAGTCCTCTGACGCCATCAACAAAAGGAACTCATTTGGGGAAATATCATTTTTGCGTAAAAATCTTTATACGTCAGCCTTATGAACCAAGTCTACATTGATTTCTCTCCTGTGTTTTTGTGTGTGTTTGTTGTATTTGGTTATGTTCCAAAGGAGATGTTGAGCTGTTACTGGTATGTACAGGCAGGTTACTATGTCCCTTTATTTCACTATGAAGATCAAGTTCTTGATAGTGAATGGCGTTTCTTGAATATTTCTTGTACAAAATAACAAAATGAATTATTTCTATGTACATATCACAGTTTTGGGGGTGTTTTTATATTTGTTTTGTAAAATCTGTATATTTTGGCTTGAGATATATATTTGTGTTGACACAAACCATTGTATTAGTAGTCTTTTCTATCTGAATAACTTTACCTTTGGCAACAAATTCAAGAAGCTTGTATTTTAAAATATCTTTTGTATGAAACTTTCAGTTTAGTAAACATGAACTTGATTAACAGAGCCATAGATGATGATAAACAAGATTTCAATCAGGGTCAATAGTTGACAGGAGTTACCTCCCTTGAGCCAGACAAGGCCTGTTCACCAAGTCAACTAGCTACTGAGGATCAGGAAAACAGGTCACACAGAGAAACATATATAAATTTTGTTAAGTTCCTATTTACATGGTATCTCTCTTTGCTTGATTTTCAAGTATTTTATTCATAAATTGAACCTGATAATTATGCTAATAGCTGTTAGAAAGTGAAATAAAGCACAAGTTCATTTAGTTTATACCCTGAACAAAAACCATCAAAATTATTGCTTTTGATAAGTGAAAGTAGATTATTTCGTTGGCTGTCTGTTAATTTTGTTGATGTCGGAGATTCATAACTTGTGAATACAGTGCACGAAATTTTAAACAATTAATCAGCTACCTTCTCATGGATTGAAAATCATTACGCTATATAGGATATAACAATTTTACACTGTTTACAAGAAATCATGTAATATAACTGTCTTTGATACTTTAAATTTGAATAAGGTTCGTTTTCAAATCTATTATATTAATTCTGTTGAGGTAATCCCATTTAGCTTGTACAATACAATTAGTATGCTAAACACCCCCAAAGCATTGTTGTGTTAATATTCTGTACAGGCGTGATGTTGATTGATTATGTTGGAAGAGTAGCCTAGGTAATAACAGGCTATGAGTTATCATGTCTACCACAGGTTTCTCACTAATGTAGTGGTGTCATGTTCCCAGGCAGTCATCCCATCCCTCTCTCACTCTTCCAGTTGCCTAGCAGGCACTTTCTTCCTGTGGGAAGCTATTATTAGCACGACCTTCACCTTGCTTCACCGTTGAGGCTTGCTAGCTGGCTGACTTCAGTTCGCTGATGGCTACAGTCTGGAACATTATCTAGTGTCGGTGAACAAACAACTTTACATCATCTCTTTTTGCCGATAGATCGATCCTGGAATTTCATAGCCTGCTCCCCTTTACTCTCAACACTTTTGTCAATTGATCCTTATAACTTTTGCAGGTTCTGGTGGAATTTGATGACCGTGACTGGCAAAAGCGGGAGTGGATTAAAGTACACGAGGTTTTTCAAGTGTTTTTGGTTGAGCATACTCTTGTTTGGGCAGAGCGGCAGGATCCAGGAAAGCCTCGTAATCAAGTCACCTGGCCAGCTTTGGTAAGTTTTAGATTTGCTCGTATTCTATCAGCATGTTGTATCTGATGACGGATGCGTTCAACTGTCCAGGTAGGCAAGCCATTACTAGTGTATATAGACACGCACGCACCGGTGAAAACTTTTTCGGAAAATGTTTACGCCGACTGACATCTTTGGTTAGTCCGTGTTACCTAATTGGTCGTAAAGCTTGCTGTTTTAGGTGGTAATGAAGAAGAATTTGTGATGTAGCAGATTTGTTTTCTGTGGCAAGAATGATGAAATATGTCACATTAAGACAAACCTAAATTTATTTTAAATGAAATGTCTTCTTGCTGAATTTATCAGTTTTAACATCTTATTTACATTTTATTCTGTTCTGAAGTGTAAAACAAAAGTGTTTACAAAAACGTGACAGAAGTTCTGTTTTTGTTTGTTGTAATTTGTTCATTATTTTGCTTTCAAATAATTAACAGGAATTTATGGAATTTTTCAATCTGAAATGCAATACGGCTGTGAAGTTGGATTTTTTCAGAAATACCTGACCATATGTTTTTCCTAAATATGGAAAACTTTTATTGGACAATAAAAGTTCTGTATTTTGCATACTCATTCGATGTTATTAGTTTTGATGTCAATGCAGTTATTTCATGTTAATTGCCAGTAGTGATTAACTGTTTTCAAAGTGCGTGTTATAACTATATTTTGAGCTTTTATTTCATCTTAGACCTTTTGATCCCTTGAGTATCTATCATTACGCAGGTGTGATTAGCATCAGTTTTAAGACAAAGATAATCTATCTAGATTGAAAACAATTTATCAAAAGCAAAACATAAAAAACAGCATCAGAAACAAAGTTGTTTTTCCGACAAACGGCAGTTGTCTTTTGTATTGTTTTTTAATGGAAACTTTCACTCCAAATCATTAAAAAGGTAATGTATGGTGAGCTGGTGTAAAAACCGCATTAGCTAATCAAGGCTGGGACAGTCTTCTATTTCCTGTGACCGAGACATCTCATTGGAGTGGAGCCCAGCCCATTCAAGCTGTATTGATTGTAACCTTTCTGCAACTCACCATAGAACTTGCGATATTGATTCGCTGCTAATAACTCTCTCCTAAGGCCCTTTTATTCTTGTACTGATTTGTTTGGAAGGGCAGAAGGGAGAGGAGCACTGGGGCTAGTGTTCACAGTGCCGGTGGTTATTGATGACCAAACAGAGAGCGGCCACTGGTCTACTAGTGTTACATCTGTTAATTCAATATTTCATTATCATACCTGGTCATGCCCAGTTGAAATGGCAGAGGAAGCGAATGTCATTTTATCACTATAGCTGTGAACTCATTGTCTTGGTGATATAGTAACACTATATTTATCTGAAAATATGGCATCAGAGTCATGATTTTTGGTGCCGGTAAATATAGCATAGAGGTTTTTTCTCATGTCAATTATATTTCATGGATGTTATTATGTGTTAACTCAGTGTGGTAAACAGAAGTGATATTCTGTGATCAAAGATAAGATTTTGGACTTGAATTCATCACAGTAAAAGTTGTCATTAGAATATGCAGAATGTCCATGCATAATTTGTTTTCAGATAATATTTCATTCACAAAAATAGTTTCTATAGATAAGGCTTTATTGCATGATTAAGTTGATGTATGTGTAAACTTTCAGGACATTAATTCACCAGGAATACGTTGAAAAATTGTTCGAGGTTGTATTTTGGAATTAGAAAATATTACCAGGAAAAAGGCACATCTGAAGGATCCATTTTCTTGATTGATAATGTTTTTTGTAAGAATACTATGAAAATATAATTAATGTAGTACAAAATAAGTTGTTGTTTTTAGAAGTCTTACACCAATATTGGTAATTCATGACATTAAGAAGTAACTGGAATTTGAATGTTTATTTCAATACATTTTTGTTTAAAACAGGAATGTTTATGACCAACTCTTGTAAAAACATGCATTCAGACGCCTTTGAAAATCAGTGGTTGTTCAAACTGAAAGTGAACAAGAAACACACATAGTTAATCTGTAACCGGGAAACAAATTCTGATGAGGTGTGACTCTAAGCAGAATTGCTTTTCCGTTGCATGATATTCTTTCAAGTATGTGGGTAAATTTCTGATTCTTTTTTCGCAATGCCAATTCTTCTGCTTGAGTGACATGGGACTACATGAATTATTTGGGGGAGAGCTTCTGTGTCTAATTGGGCTGGAATCAATAATAAACACTGCTCGCAAAGATATAAAAAATACATGCATTCAAGGAGCATTATCTAATTGTGTCTTCTCGGACACACCTAGAACTTCATTGGCTGGAATAGAATAGCGAGACTTGTCAGGCCCAGACTGCTGTGACCAGTTGTTATAAACAAGTTGGGTGAGATTGCTTTGAGTAACTGCTATTCCTCAGCTTACTGTTTGTGTTACTTAGCATGCATCAAGATGGCAAACTAGGCCAGGGGTTGGTTGGCCCCTGAGATTGAACCTTTCAAGCGCCAGTCCTGATGGATAGCTGTGTTCTGAACCTTGGCATTATCAGCTTTCAAGGGGCCGTCTCAAAGCAGCTTTGCTTGTTTTTCACTAAAAGTAGTTCCGTCTGTCAGACCCAGCTGTTTTCTGTCTTCTATGTGGCTTGGCCAGCGTGCAGCCAGCAAGTTGCCGCTACTATTGCTGCCTACCTGGTAGCTGAAAATATTCATGCAACGTGGGATCGGTGTATGCTTATGTATGTGTGTGTTGTCTTGCTAGCTGCTGGCTGTGTTTTGGTATTCATATATCACTGATATATGATCCTATTCAGAATATGGTTTGGTTTATTGATTACTGTTCAGATTCATAGTTGAAATTCTGTTTGACATTCACATATTTTTCTGTGTCCACGAAGTATACTTAAATTTTGTTAATTTTATGCTGGTTTCTGGTTAAGGAAACGCCTGCATCGTTCATGGAGGCTGTTAGTAATGGAAGGCTGTGTGGTTTTGATGAACCTGTTCAGGCAGGTGATGATTCAGAGGGGTCCAGTGTGCATAAGCTGCATAATTTAGATGATCACTTAGAAATAAATGGATTTTGTCAAATTTTTCACAGTTGATATGTCGGTTTGAAATATTACAATGTCTGTGGTTGCAATTAAAAGAAAACTGATTATTTTAAATGTCAGAAAAGGTTAGATTTGAGTCAACACTGTTAAGAAAATGTTTCATTGATATCAACTTTTGCCAGTTACAGGACACAGGGTGTTCAGACAGACCAAATTATCAGCTTCATTCACTATGAATTGTACAAATATGAAAATACACCAACAAACGGTAGTTAGCCTTAGGATGTGAAAACTTGGAATTTCCCGACTAATTGTAAATCTTTACTTTCATAATTATATTGATTTCCGTTGTTTTCAAAGTAGAGTTTAGTGCAAAGTGGAGGTTTGAGATTGTATTTAATTTCACTAATCTATTTAATATAGGGATTGAAATGAATGAAATGCTTCAGAATACATGGTAGATGCGAATGATTATTCAACACCAGGATACAGCAATACTCTGTTCTCACTGTTTTAAGTGTTGATGCATAGACCATCATATTAATCACAAATGATTGCCTCGTTTTAAATGATCCCTAAAAGGATCCAATCAAAGGAATTTTTCCTCATACAATTTCATTTACTGTTGTGAATTTACCTTATAATGGAGTTTTTGTGCAGTAACGGTTGTAGAGGAATGTGTTATCAACAATCATGCTTTCAGCTCTGATGAAAATGTATGCTTTTAAAGCTTGTGTCCTGACCAACACAATGCATTTCTAAAGCAGACTTGCTTGCCTAATGGAGCGGTCACATGCAAGCTGTATGTCAGAAGGGACAGCCTAGGCAACTCGAGATCAATATATAATTATAGCCTTCATTGTGTATGTGTACATAATGCCACAAGCTAATGGAAGCCCATGGGCACACAGTGACGGACCATTGAGCGGGAATGGATTGAAGCCCGATACCAGAAAGTCTGTTATTTCTAGGGTTTATTTGGAATGGGGCCAGGCATGTCTTCAATGTGTAGTGTCATTTGGCTTCCCTGTTCCAACGGGTTATGGATCATTCTGTCAACCCTCTTTTGTGCTGTACATTGCAGAGATATACAAGTTTTCTGTCAATATTCGTAGCTAACAAACTTGGTCAATCAATTCCAAGCTGCGCCTACCTGTACAGTCAATGGGAAATTGAATTCAGGTGGCATATGGGCTTGTGGACTTTGAACAATATTGTCAGGGTTATCTTATCAAGTGCTACTGATACAAACTGCCTGTTCATTACTGACCGAGAAAAGGTGTTAAGTGCAAAATATGTCCATGAAAGATGATTGATTTCAAAATGTAATAAAGTGAAAGCTAAGCTGACGGATGGAATTAGTGTAAGTTGAACCTGTTAATACAAATTCAAACATTCTGACTGTTTTCAATTTGTATAAGGCTTAGAATTGCGGTGTTGAGTTTCGTGTTTGTATTTGGCTGATTTATTGTGTAAAAATTTGAGTGTTTTAGTATGGTCAAATGTCAAATATCCTTTTCATAGTTGGGCCAACTTGAGGTTATGTGACAAACATTGCTATGTGGAAGACAGGTTTGATGTCTCCAAGCCTTGAGTTAGTGTCATTTCACCCCCTGGGCACTGGTTTCTCTAGTAACTGTAGACTTTGTAGTTTATCCTCCTACGATAGACATAATGAATTTGCCTTTTTTGTGGCAGAAATGTGCAAGAATAATGCATATGAATTCATATTGGATTTCTTTGCTGAATGAGGTAACATATTGCATCAGCCGTTAAAGGTCAGAATGATCTCAGTGATGTATTTCATTTAGACATGATGTCCTTATATAGTAGTAAACTGAGCTGATATTTTTGATAGGTTTAAGATTTCCTCAGGTTGGGACAGGCTTGTAAGTCGTCATTGTACCACCTCACAATGTGTTATTCTTTTCTTACACCTCTAAAATGTCTACCTCCTGTATGAAACTTTCTGGCTTCCTCCCATTACAATCAGTCCTATTTAGCTAAATTCTATTGGTGTAGGATAGAGCAAGCTGGAGGCAAATAATGCCCATAGTAAATATTTGTTAGGATTTTGTGTGCATTTCACAAAGAGGGAATAGAATGTCAATTCTCCATTTGGAGACAGAGAAGGGCCAGCAGGTTATTTGGGCCATTGCAGAGTGTTCTTGCTCAGGAACGAACGTTATCAGGCGTGCAAGGCTACCTGTCTACCTATTGGAGAAGTTGATATACTCACCACTGAGTGAGCTCTGAGCACGATTAAGAGGACTGAGTTGCTATTGTTGTCATGACCTGCCCGCTAGCTCACTACTTCCAACCACTACACGATTTCAGGTTATTATAGGTTGGGTGGAGTTGGCAAACGTTCAGTGCAATCTATCCAGCTCACGGGGAGACACTTCTTATCTTGCTAGCATTGTTGTTTGGGAGGTCTCTGTCAACTATTTATGAAAATGTAAACATCCTTTATGACTGAGAACTGTTGAAGTAATCTTTCAATACATGGTGTCCAAATAATGTGACACGAAAATGAATGGTTGAAAATATGTTCAAGTGTTTTCCTCTCTAGAGAGTACTGTGGTGAGAAAGTTGAAACTGAATAGTTGTTTTATTTCATGTCAGCTCAGCATTGTTTCGTACATTTGTTGGTAGCGAGTTAGACATTAATTCATTGAGGGTTTAATTTTCTGATTTTATCATTACAACTGTGATGCACTCACATTTATCAAATGGAAAAGCAAATTGGCATTTTTTATGCCGAGTTTACCAGATTGGTTAGTACTGATGCCTGTTCCAAATAATTTGATGTGCTACATCACATATTCAACTTGTGTTTGGATTGCAAGACCAAAATACAGTTACTAGATTTGTACAAGTGAACATAAGGTTTAGCTTTATGTTAGCATATGTTATTTTACCATTTGAAAACAAATTTTACTAAACATGCAGTTTTGATTTAATCCTTAATGAAGTGTTTTGTCTATTTACAGTGTTACAAATCGTACGTAGACAAAGTTGGACTGACGTCGGGGAGAAAGAAACCTGTTGAGTATCTCCTTGATAGATCAGTGGGCTTTGTGGAAGAAAAGGAGTATTCTTTTTACCAGGTAAGTCATGTTTCCTGATCATCCATCAAATGTATACACCTGTGTTAATTATATAGTTTAAATACATTAAGCTTCGAGGCATAATGTTTTCTATCACCCATGTTGCCGTTTGTCACAGAGTATAGATTATTGACTATCAACAACTTTTAAGGGATTCCTTGACACACACAGTGATTTTTCAGAGGCAAATTGGACCAAAAAACTGACGAGACTTCTTCTCAAATTATTGTCTAATTTTAAACAAATAATCTTCAGAACATTTTCGATGATGATTATTCACTGTTGAAGAAAATTACTGATCAGAACTCTCTGCTCTTTACTGATACTTGCAGTAAGTAGCTGAAACTTGTCTGAAATATTTTAGTAATCTCTATCAAAGGTACATCTCTGTTTTAATAGATTATCCCTAACACATGTGGTTTTGGACCATCTACCACACACAAATAAGAATTTAGTTTGAGTCCAACATTTGATGTGTGAACAGCATGGTTCCACTTTCAATTGAGATTAATTTTGATGTGGATGAGTTGCTATTACAAGTACTATGCTGGGGAATTGTGTGCTTGAACAAATAATGCCACACAGGTACGTGGAATGAAAGATGTAATTAAAGAGGACTATATATATGTGCTGGTATGTTACACCTGTTTTACTGCGTCACCGATCCACGCTGAAGGTCAGGGCTGAATCTCCAATCTACATAAACACGTCTCCCGCTAGTGAGTCAACATGAAACACGATCAGTTATAAACACTTTATGTATTGTATGTATGTCAGGGAATATTCTGCAGAGGGCTTTTCCCTTTGTCACATACTGACGACAGGGCGATCATGTTATAGACCGAAACAACTTTATGAGAAAGCGTTAGTATATGTGAAATCACATTCAAATTTCATTGTCATCAAATCAGGTTAGACAATTTAGATTAGATAATTTACAGTAAAAAAAGATGATTCATTGTACAAGTATATTCACAATGGTATGGTACAAACAGTGGAGATGTTGTGCGTAGAGTATTACATGACAAACATTCATTATAATTTGATACTACAATAATCAAGATGGAACCTAGAATTGTGGTTGGTAGATAGTAATGTAGTACAAATACCCCCACAAATATCTGGGCACAAACAGCTGATACATGCATAAGATATAACAAGGCATATCATTTATACATCATTACTGGTACCATCATTATAAAACTGTTGCATAAATTACACCATCGTGGAACCTATACTTCGGCACTATATATTGGAATGGTCATTATTTTTTATTGCGGTGGTATGTTGACTGGAAAAAACTTATAAGGAGATATCTTTTAATAGAGACATTAGGATCTAAGTGTCATTGTGCCCTTCTGTTTGCCGTGTTGGTGGCCTTCTGTTTTGACCTGTGGCCCGACAATAAGGTGTTGTGTGGAAAGGGATGTACCTGCATTCCTTCATTTCACACATTGACCTTTGACCCAAGGTCATGTGTGGGTCATACATCTGACCACAATGACAGGTCAACCACAGGCCATTTCAGACAGTGGTCAGTGTTGTACACATCTCAGCAGGTGCCGTAATGATGTCACATGTTTCATTATTAGATCCCTGGCCCAGTACTGTGTAATATCCTTGTCCAGCATTCCTTAAAACCTAACATTTGTCCAAGGCTGGTGTCCATCAGCAGTTGTCGTTGGTATGTGGGAAGGAAGACCGGCACACTTTTTGCTCTCTTGATGATTTAATGTAAATTCCTTTTGATAGGCATTTAAGTTTGCATATATATTTTTAATACATCTTGGTTGGCTGTTGTACCTGTGTGGAATATCTAGGGAATCGTGTCATGACTTTAAGGCGACTAGTTTGAATTAGATGGTATTCAGAGTTGATGAACCCGTGATTTCAAGGACATTGATTGTGAAAATAGTTTTGTTGTGTTAATCTCTGTGTTGTTTGAAACTGGAAACAATGTGTCTTCATTTCTTGGCTTTGGATCTAATTTTGATGGGAAATTGTTTCAGACGGCTGAAAGGTTTTGCCACTGCCTGACTGTTTATGAAATACGTGTACATTATGTTTCATGATATTGATGTTATAAATTGCATTCATTGGTTTGTGGAATGAAGATCAATTTGAAGTCAATACTGTTTTTTATCCATTGTGATCACAGAGACACCTTGGGTAAAAGATGGCTGACTAACACTACAAATTAAACCTGATATTACTGAGGACATAAATTCTCCAACATCATATTATTATTGGCAAAGCCAGCATGTATCATTTTACATAAACAAATTTCTTGCGACATTGGTGTGTTGTGAAGAGGTGGAACTCCCCAATTGAGATCAATATGGCTTGTTTGAAATACCTTGTGTACTTGGGTCACCATTGACTTGCACTGGCAGCACGGATCAACTCGCAGGCTAGATCAATATTTTACCAGGGAATAGCTTGGCCAGTTTTTCATCCAACCAGCCCCAACAAGCTTGCAGTATCTGTCGGCTCCAGCTGGTTCAACCTCAATGTAGCATCTATTTTCAGAGCCTGGAAGAAAAATACATACCCACTTGCTTTGCTTTATGTTAAGATCAATAGGCCCTTGTAATGTTATTGGATGCGTTTTGTCTTTGAAGATGATAGATGTGTGTCTGGTGTCTGTCTATATATTTGCCATAGGACATTATATAAATCCTACGAACATAGATCAAGAGATTGTATTGCTTGTGGTTTTGTCTATAAAACAATATTTGCTCTTGTGAACAAATGATAACGGGTTATTTCTACATATATTTATGTCATTCAATGTCATCCAAAACAAGGTCAGATTGGTCACTAAAGCGTGCTTTATGTTCTCACTTTTGAATGTTTAGGTTAGTGGAAATGATTTATGTTATGTTAACCTCAATTGCAGTGGGCTGTTGAAATGTTGCCTTTCACAAACCACTTTAGGTTCGGAATTATGTATATAATGGGCAGTAAATTGTGGTGGTGCCCAGTCATAATACTGTCGCCTACTGTCATGCTAGAAGTGTCATGAACTTGCCACCATATTTCATAGAAACGCAGGACCTCATTGTCTGAAGTTGTTGGCAGCCCTCGACATTCTCTGCTGTGACTCATCTGACAATTTGCTCCAAAAGTTTCATTGGGTCATACAACTCATTGAATTTTTCTCACATTAGCTTCTCAAGCAAGGCATTGCTTTGTGTTTTCACTTTCTTGTGTCCTGTCGTTCATCAACTTGTCATACAAAAAAGGGATTTTTGATGAAGCAGCATTTTCACCAAATTTAATTAGCTTGCTTGAAAGGATGAGATAATTCTCGGGAGAATGAGTAGGAAAACGTGCTGTAATGTAGTAGCAATATCCATTGCAAATTAACTTTTGGTGACAATGAGCCACAATGTGTAAAACCTGTCTCAAACTTCAAGGGAGGAATATTAGATGACTGGCCTTTAGGAAGGGAAATAATCACTCAAGGAAAGATGGTTTTGATAAAGCAATTATGGGTATTACTGTAATTCCCTGACATTTAGCTGTAATTATTTTTTGAATTAATGTTGAACTTTGTTCACCCAACGTCCTACTTTTGTTGTGATTTACATATAGGTAGACGGGCAACACATGACTGCACTAATGTTCAGGGTGGTTGTAAGTTTGAACAATACTTGCAGTGTTCATTGTGAGGACAAGCATGATCAACATCACCTGTGAACTTGTAACATGAAACATGACGGGCAGATTCTATTCATTGTGCCGTTGTACATGTTTGAAAAGGTGGAGACTGATAAGGCCAGTGCTAAAACTGAAAAGAAATGTTGTGTCGCCGTTTGACATGACAGTGTCGTGGACTATCAAGCGTCACATAATTCACAGACAGATGCCTTGTCATTGATACATGGAAGTAATAATTCACATTTTATATGTTATGAAAACTGGGTGAAAAAATGTTTGAAGGCGTTTTTAAGTGCCAAAATTAATGTGCCATGCATTATTCATTTGTGGTAGTACGCCCAAAGTCAAAAACTACGTGGGAATTGAGTTGAACATTGGGTGGTATTGTTTACACACCTCCCAGTGGTACTCAGGGGGTACTAGTGATGGGGAGAGTGTGTACAGACATTGTGAATGATGCATGTGTTACAAGATACTGTTTAAGGTTACATGAAAGATGGAATTGAGGAATCGTGATGTAACTCAAGTAATTGCATTGACGTCACTCGTCAGTTCCAGTTGGCAGTCTGCCAGACACTCATGTCTTCTTGCCTAACACTAGAAGTTGCTGGAGGCGAGTAATCAGTGTAGAAATAGTAACACATGTTGCTTGGCTGCCTGCTCCACATAACTGATGGTGGCAGCTGCTTTCTGCCTAGAAGTTTTGTCATAGACCTACCTGCCTGGTTCTCAGGGAGGTTTTTTGAGCCTTTTTTTAAAGTGAACATCTAGGATTATGATGTTTCCTCACGGTGTACTGACAGACAGGTGCTCATAATGAACAGTTGCTATCAGTACCTTCCTGCCTTGAGCAGGTGTCTATCTGTTAGACTGTAGGCTAGCAAAGAATCTTTGCCAAATTCATTTGGTCTACTTACCTAAAATTGTCTTTCTGTCCTGTGCTAGCTTGTGTTGTGGCTAAGTTAGAATACCATTTTCAATTTTTTGTATGCTGACATTTTTGTTGACTGACCATTGGATGGAGGATGCCTGTTTTGAATTACCCTCCAGCCTAAAAGAGTTTGACTGAAATGTAAGTATATTGATTGAGGTTGTATGGAGGGATGTGTTTCATGAGAGCCGTTGAGTCTCACTGTTGTCATGGTTTAATCAGTGGAAATCTGACTTTCCATGAAAAATATTTATGACTGTGACAAGGACCCTTGACTCTTTATTTCATTTCATCATCTAGTATGAAGTATATCAGTCTTCCTGCCTTTGTGTGTAATATCTTGTGGGAACATGGTTTTGTGTAATATCTTGTGGGAAAATGAATAAAAAAAACATTAAAGCTTTCA